TTTAACGTACGGTAAATCCTAAATCCATACCCAAATCAGTAACGCACAAAAATTCACACTAATTCGACTGGATAGTTCCACTGAATGGTCACTCAATAATCACTCCAGTCAGTAGCATGACATCGTTATTTGTACACCTGGCAGAAAACATATATTCATAAGTCCAGAGTGTCACGTTCGAACCTCGATGTCGGTAGTTACTCATTTTCTTCCAATATGACAGTTACTAGTAAAAAATGTCGTGTCGTTTTTTTTTAAACAGTAATAATTAGAGGATAGATACTCCATTATTTATTAGAGTAAATATATTTTCTATGTAAACCGTCTTTCATGTCCTGTCTACAATAAATTATATATAATATAAAAATATAAATATTTTTAAAAGTATAAATATTTTTGGAAAATATAAATTTATTAAAATTTTTATTAATAATAAAAAAATAATTCAACAAACAGAATATTTTTGAAAACATAAATAATTTCTAGAAAATTAATTAAATAGTTTAGTAAAAAAAATTTATGTTCCCCACCCCAACATGTTTAAAACATTTTAAATAATTTGTTTTTACATTTATTTTTAAAATTTAATCTTAATTTCAATAGAATAATGAAAGAGAGTTCAAAATTTCCCGACTAAAAATATCCAAAATGATGTGTTATATGTTCGTGGAATATCTGATTGCATTAAAGCGACTGAAAATTCCTTACCAAAATATCTACGTGAATTTGTTCTGCTGTGTTTTCCAGTTTTTGTTTCGAATATTTGAATAAATAAATATTAAACATTTTCTCAAATAACTATATTTAATATTCTTCTTCTTTTAAATCTACTCTGTTATTTAATATTCGTTTTTTTTATGTTACGCTTTTATTTACTATAGATATGGAAATAAATTCAAGAGAATAGAAATTTAAAAATACATCTAGCGTTTCGAAATTGTCAGCAAAATTAAAAAGTAAAAACGAACCTGAATAATAATGATTCGCGTTCGTTTTTACTTAAAAAAAGATACAGTAATGCATTCAAGAGAATAGAAATTTAAAAAATACATATAGCATTTCGAAATTGTCTGCATATTTAAAAAAGTAAAAACGGACGGGATTAATAATTATTTTGATTTATTAAAAATGCAGTCTAATGCAATTATTTACGATATTTTTAATTTTAAAATATCTTCGTATTTACAAATCATACGATGAAGTGTTTTTTTTTTGTTCTTTGGGTTTTTTGGGTTTTTTTTTTGCAAAAAAGTGGTTTGGGTGATACTTAGTCTGTATATATATTTATTTTGTCGTAATTATTGTAGTTTTTTTTAATTTTAGATGGACATACGTACGCACATACAGACAACTGACTTTATATATGTATAGACAGACACCACCCGCTAATCCTAGCTTACAGCAGCTGGTTTTCCCAAGGGGTCACCCATCTAGCTATTGACAGGGCTCGACTTTGATCTTACGGAACTAGTTTCTATATGACGTGGCCGAAGTCAAATGAAGAAAGGCCGATTGTGTTTTCCGTATGATTTACTGCAAAAGCACGGTCAATGTTAGACATTAAAATACGGTCAGTATTTTTATTTTTTGGTTAGACTACCGCATTTTCTCTTTCATTACGTTGTTCAAACAAGTCAGTTGCTCTTCGACGCGTTGTGCAGCAGCACTTAGTCTAATATTCGGTATTTTTGATCAAGAATTCCCTGTAATATTTCATTAAAAACTAGAAAGTAAGCGCAGTTGGCTTAAATATTTTCAATAAGGAAAATCGAATCAGCACCCCACAGCACGAGTTCTAATTCCGACCGAGGGGTTTATAACGCACTCATATTCTTGGTGGCATCTTTCATGTTTCTGGTTGCTTAAACCCATGATTTTCAAGAAGACGAAAATTTATTCGGAGAAACCGTTCTATTTTTCACAATTTACATGTAACGGCGACTAACGGTGAGGAATGTTCGGTAAATAGTTTGTGATTGAATCACGAGGCTACGAGTAAGGTGGAATAAAAAGAAAGGACGAAAGACAGAAGGTATATGAAAAAGAAAGAAAGTTGGTAGAAGATAAAGAAAGCAATTGAAATATGGAAAAAAAAAGATGTAAAGAATTGCGTGGAAGGAAGAATATATACGAGGAAAACATGACAGGAAATTTCAGAGAGAAAAAATTGAAAAGTGAAATATGGAAAGAGCAATTTTAGAAGAAAGAAAGAAAAAAAGAAGAATAGATAGCGAAAAACAAAGATTGAATTCTATTAGAAAGAAAGAGAAACAGATATAGGAAAAAGAAAGAAAGAAAGAAAGAAAGAAAGAAAGAAAGAAAGAAAGAATAGATAGAATCATCCAACTCTTTCTGAATCCTCTGCACTGTCCTCAGGGTTAAGGTTAGAAATGTTCCCATTGGAGATTCTGGCGCAAATGGCAAGCAATACAGCATGCTGTTTCCAAATTTCTGGCGGTTGGAATTACGTCATGATGCACTGTTTCTCACGGACGGTGCCTAACTGACCCTACTATACTGTGCAGACGACAAAATCAAAACAAAAAATACAATGCGCATGCGCAGAATTAAGACATAAAATGGTGACAATTTACACATTGAACACTGTATATAGCTAGGAAAAAGAAAAGGGTATTATGAATATAAGAAAGAAAGAAAGAAAGAAAGAAAGAAAGAAAGAAAGAAAGAAAGATTCAATATATATGAGAATAAAGGAAATAAAAATATATAAAAGAGAAAAAGAAAAGAGTATGGATATGAGAATGAATGAAGGAAGGAAGGAAGGAAGGAAGGAAGGAAGGAAGGAAATAGATGAGAGAAAAAGAATCATAGTATTGGTATGAGAAAGAAAGAAAGAAAGAAACAAACAAACAAACAAAGGAAAAGATTCAATATATATGAGAATGGAAGAAATAAAAATAGATAAATGAGAAAAAGAAAAGTGTATGGAAAATATGAGAAAGAAAGAAAGAAAGAAAGAAAGAAAGAAAGAAAGAAAGAAAGGGAAGGAAATAGATGCGAGAAAAAGAATCATAGTATTGGTATGAGAAAGAAAGAAAGAAAGAAAGAAAGAAAGAAAGAAAGAAATGATATAAGAAAAAGATACTATAGGCTTAATAAAGAAAGAAAGAAAGAAAATATACAAGAGAAAAAGAATGATATGTTTAAAAGAAAGAAATAGATGGAAAAAAGATATATAGAAAGAAAGAAAGAAAGAAAGAAAGAAAAAAGAATGTGTGTCGAATTATATTAAAATAGAAAAAGAAAGGGAAATCACTAAAAACTGAAATAAAATAAACATTAAAAAATAGAGGGAAAATCAGATTAAGACACCCCCCACCGGACTAAAAACATAAAAAGGGCAAAGGGAAAAAGATTTAATCAAAAATCAAAAAGCAGATCGATCAGGTGAGTCGGCAACAAAAAGACTCGCTGACAAACAGACCGACAGAAAAGGCAAATCACTAACAAGACGGCTAGACCGTGTCAGGGCAGCTTTGAGTGGCGACCTAAAAAAGATTGGTCTACGTAAAAACGCCAGACGTCATTCGTGGTAAGCAGATTAAATCTGAACGAAAGTATGCCCGGCACCTTAAAGACCTCAAAAGCTTCTCACCTGAGCCGCCGATAATTTAGGGGAAAGGAAAGTAAAAGACAGGCCCGGATGAAAGTGGGTGGACTGTTAGGGAAACGGTGCAGAGACGACGTTGATTGGTGGTCACCAAGCGGTCAGTTGTGACCGACCGTACAGTGTTTGCCAAAGTAAATGCTAAAAGTAGATTCGTACTGAATTCAGCCCGGACAATGACCGATGAGAGGATGGATTGAATTTGTTAATGAAGGATCAAAACGTTTTGCGGGGATTGGCAAGATGGAAGTGCTTTCGTTCAGACAGAAGGAAAAGAGGTTTATCGATGGCGCTTCTAGTTCGCTTAGTCACGTCTCGGTTTCAAAATAAAAATGCTTCAAGCTGTCTCCTAATTAAACTAACCCGTCTAACTTTTTATTTCTTTCTTTCTTTCTCTCTCTCTCTCTCTCTCTCTCTCTGTCCCCCCTCTCTCTTCCTTTATCTCTCTTTTATGTAATAATCTTTCTTTGTTTTTTCTTTCTTTCTTTCTTTCTTTCTTTCTTTCTTTTCCATTCATTCATTCTGATTTTAAATGTTACTTACAATCTCTTTCTCTTTTCTATCATTAAGTTTTCTTTTCATCTTTGTTTTTTTTTATTTTCATTCTCTCTCACACTTTTTCTTTCTTTCTTTCTTTCTTTCTTCCTCACACTTTTTCTTTCTTTCTTTCTTTCTTTCTTTCTTTCTTTCTTTCTTTATTCTTTCTTTCTTTCTTTCTTTCTTTCTTTCTTTGCCCGCTTCTAACAACCGACTTCTTTTTCGTCCATTTCTTTTCTTTTTCTTTGTTTTCCTTTCCCTTTTTCTTTTCCCCTCTTTCTCTCTTTTCCTTTTATCCTTTTATCTTCCTTTTTTCGTTTTCTTCTCTTTCTCGTATTCACTGATTATTCCAAGCAACTTCTTTTTCTTTCCATACTTCTTTCTTTTTTAATACTTTCTTTCTTTTATAGCCTTCTTTCTCTTTTTAAGTTTTCCATTGGTCTTTTTTATTTGCTGCCTTTCCCTTTCTAAGAACCTCTTTCTTTCCTTCTTTTTTTCTTTCTTTATTCATTTATTTATTTACTTGTTTTCTTTCTTCTTTTTATTTATATTTCATTTTCTCGATCTTATTTTTCATCTCTTTCCTTCTGTCTTTCTTTTTTCTTTCTTTCTTTCTTGCTTGCTTGCTTCGTCCTCCTTTTCATTGTTGCTGTCTTTTGTACAGCTTCTTCCTAACTACTTCTCGTTTCTTTCTTTTCCATTTTTTCCTGCTCTTTGTCTTTCTTTTTTCTTTCTTTTCAATTTGATTTATTTTTTTTTCCTTTCATGGCGTCTAACCGCTCACTTTTATTTCGTTTTTCCGATGAATAACAAGAAATAAATAAACATTCATTTCTTGTTATTCATCATTTTTTTCTATCTATCTGCTATTCATTTTGTTCTTCTCTCTTCCTCTTTCTTCATTTCTTTCTTACTTTTTGTTCTTGTTTTTATTTCCTGTTCTTTCTTTTATTTCTTCGTCAAAACAACTCCTTTTCTTTCTTTCTTTTTTAAATCTTCTTTATCTTTTATGTTTGTTTCTTCCTTTCTTTTTTCATCCTTTCTCTCATTCTTTATTTGTTTCTTTTTACAAGTTTTTCTTTTCTTCCGTTCTTTCTTTTTCTTCATGAATTTATTTGCTGCTTTGACTTTTACAACTTGTACCTACCTAATCGTTTTCTTTTGTTTGCTTCTTTCTTTCTTTCTTTCTTTCTTTCCTTCTTTCTTTCTTTCTTTCTTTCTTTCTTTCTTAGCTTTTATCTTACTTTCTTCTTTTCTTTTTCCATCCCTTCTCTCAGTCTTTGTTTCTTTCTTTTTTTCTTTTATTAGTCTTTTTTTTTCTTTCGGTCTTTCTTTTTCTTCATGAGTTTATTTGCAGTTCTTTCTTTTAAATTTTGTGCCGCCATAATCATTTTTTCTTTTCTTTCTTCCTTTCTCTCTTTCCTTCTTTCTTGTTTTCTTTCTTCTTCCTTATATTTTATCTATCTTATTTCCTTTCTCTTTACGCCCTTTCTCTCTCTCTTTCTTTCTTTCTTTTTTTATTTTATTAGTCTTTCTTTTCTTTCGTTCTTTTTTTTTCTTCAGGAATTTCTTTTACACCTTGTACCATCCTAATCGTTTTTCTTTCTTTCTTTCTTTCTTTCTTTCTTTCTTTCTTCTTTACATTTTATTTTCTTTCTTCCTTTCTTTTTGAACCTTTCTCTCAATCTTTGTTTGTTTCTTTTTTCTTTTATTAGTCTTTTTTTTTCTTTTGTTCTTTCTTTTACACCTTGTGCCGCCCTAATCATTTTTCATTTCTTTCTTTCTTTCTTTCTTTCTTTCTTTCTTTCTTTCTTTCTTTCTTTCTTTCCCTTTTTATAAATTCTGTTTGCCTCTGTCTAATCTCCATCACTCTCTTTACCTCTGCTAGAAGCAGATTATGCTGAAAATGGATTATCTCTGCTATTTATGGGCAGGGGCTGTCCAGTCTTCACTTTCAACACTCTATAGAGTCCAAAAGCTTCTCCGTTACCTTCTGGATGACGAATTATTTTCCACCCTGCGATTCCTTTCTCACAGACGGGATGTCGCAAGTCTCTCACTCCTCTATCGTTATTTCCATGGAGATATGGACTACATTTCTTTGTTCCACCAGTCCTAACCACGGCTAAGTTCCGTTATGCCACGCCCATTGTAGCGAACCACCATCATTGCCTTCGTATTCCTTAGATGAGGTGTTCCATTCGAGCCGATTCTTCCCACGAACAGCTACTTTGTGGAACATATTCCCAAAAGAATACTTCCTTGATCACTACAATCTGAACCTGTCCAGTGTTAACCGTTACCTCCCACACATATCCGCATAAGCTATGTCTCTTACCCTGTAACCCTCTACCTCGAGTGACCCTCGCGTCTTTTCCAGGGTGAACACCATTGCAAATAAAAACTTTAGGTAACGGGTTTATTGATTTGCCTACGTATATATTCAGTGGGCATTGTCGTGACACGATGTTTACCAATTTAGTTTTATATATTACTAGCCGACTTACTCGCGCCTTGCTGCTTATCACAGTTTTAAAAAATGATGATTGATTTTAAATCATTGTTATAATTTGTGGAGAAGAACGATGCATTCTAATATTACTTAATGATCTTGCTAATGTGACCTCCATCTTCTGGATTTCTCCTTCTATATTTTGGATAGGAATCATTCCCTTGCTCAAATTTAAATCCAAGGGAAAACATTTCAGTGGGTGGGTACAAAACAGCTTGATCTGAACCCTTTGATATGTATTTGATAGAATATTTGAAAAAATACCAACTATACATTTTTGAAGGAAAAATTATTACCAGGAATACATTTTTTGAAAAAAAATATCGGCATTAATAATCTTGTCGGCATTAAAATAACCCATTGAGGCTGATATGCCGGAAAACAAAACAAACCGTTTAGTTTGATATTTATTATTTTTACCTTGTGCCAGACCTGGCAAAAGTTACTAGTTAATCATTTGCTGGAAAGCAGAGGGCAGTTATCTCCTTTTTGGTACGACGAATTTACGAGAGTCATGTGAAGCCCGATGATTGACGTCAACCCTAGTGATACGACAGCTCTCGGGTTGACTAACACCAATTATCGTGTACACCACAAACGTGATAGCCAACGACAGTAAAGTGAACGAATGGCAACCACATAGATTTAAAAAGACACGAACGACTCGCTGTTTTCACTAGGGAAATATTACAAGCCAAATTCTTTCAACTTCCCCCTTTCACTTTGCTTGTTTTATCCCTGTGTTAGAGTTTCTCTGTGTGGAAGAAATGATAACAGGTATATAGATGTCTGTATTATAAAATCATGTACAACATACCAGTACAGAAAATATCTTCGATTGCAATTTATATTTATCACTCATTTATTTCAGCTATGTTTGTCTTTCTTCCCACTGTGTTAAGGTCATCTTTACACTAATGCGTCATATGGGCATTGGAGAGTGATGATATGCAGGGTACTCTTCCAGGACCCCCATTGTTCTCACAATTTTTTGCCTTTTGACTGTTGGGATAGAAGTACTAGAATATTAATAAAAGCGATAGCAACGGCGAACTTTTTCCTTGTCTGTTATATTTAACGTGAAAAAAAACCCCAACAGAAATGAATTTATTAGTTAAAACCAAGGCCAAATGACATTTCTTTCAGAGAGATAGATCCCACCTTGCATTATAACGTTTGCTAAAATGTCATGTCCATTGAAGACGTAGTTGATCATGAGTCTCCACAGATTCCTTCCCTTCTTTTATCTGTGAATTATCATGGATATTAGAAAAAAGTAGTGGACCTGTTTTTCATTGCCTTTTCCACGGTCTTGCATCTAGAATAGTCGTGAAAGACCAGAGATGCTTGTTTACACCGCAATTAAACCTACGGCTGCAGAGGTGGGGGATAAGTGATTAGATGCACTCATTTCCCAAGGGCATTCTTGTGAAAGGGAACGCAACTGAATTTGAACTCGGCTCGCCTGTTTCACTTTTCGCATCGATAACCGTAATGTTATTCTCCTTCCGCATTTTGTGCTTTCTGAAACTCGTTCTCGGAATGGCGACCTGCCTACACCCAATGTTGTGAACCCGATTTCAACCGAAATGCTACGATCCAAAGTCGAAAGTCTTACAAGGACATTTGTGCAAACACACGTTTCATTCCCGCGCATAAATGCTACATTTTTCCGACGATTCACGATTTCACCGAGAGAAACTCTCTTTGGCCCCATGAGAGCGTCGTAAATGGTCTCTTTGCTTTCCAGAAATATTTCATCATAATGTAAGCAATCATTTCGGATGTGTTATTTTTTTTATGGCTTATACGAATGTTTATTCATTTCACTTAAATATATAATGTAAAAAGAAATTTAAATGCTTTTCCAATAATAATTTGTTATATATTTTCTTACTAAATGATTCTTTTTTGTATTTTCTGTAAAAGGGATAAAACTCATGAAACCTTTGACATGTTCACATAGCCCACTATGTCCCAAATCGAGGCTGAGCAAATATGGCGGCTAAGCAAATATGGCGGCAAATGATGCATTGTTCTTTTGACGCAATAGCGCTTTTTTTTTCTTCTGTTCTGTATTAACTTCCATCATCGTTTTTCTTACGGTTTTCTTTCAGTGTTTTACTGTATTTTCTTTATTAGTTGAATTTATTTTTGCCAACTTATTTAACGGTTTTATATTGATTTGTCCAACGCAATTCAACTCAAGTTTTTTTTTTTTACAAATTCCCACTTTTAAAGGCCTCTCCTGTTCTTTCTATTACCAATCACAAATACAAACTTGAATGATTATATGTGTGTATGACAGTGTAGATATCTGTGCGTGTATGCATTTGTTTTTCCATAACAGATGTTGTATGAAGAAATATATACATATGTACGTATATGAAATATATTTATAAAGATATATTAAAATATATTAATATATGTATGTATGCCTATACAAATATATATGTGTGTGTTAGGGGCGCATATATTTCTGTTTGACTAAGTGTCAAAACAACACACACACACACACACACACACACACACATATATATATATATATATATATATATATATATATATATATATATATATATATATATATATATATATATATTTGGGTGCATATATGTGTTTATGTCTAGAAAATATATATATAGACAAATATGCATATGTAAATACATGCATTATATATATGTGTGTGTGTGTCTGTGTTTGTAGGTATTTGTATGTGCATTTGTGTATCGTATGTGTGAATCCATACAAAAAAAATATTTATATATATATATATATCTATATATATATATGTGTGTGTGTGTGTGTGTGTGTGTGTGTGTGTGCGTGATATCTATGTGGGTCTCTACTAATTCCAATGATTAATAAATTAATTAACTACTTACTATATATATATACTCTCTACCCTTGATAATGAGCCCTTTTAGCTATAAATATAGCACACCTTAAAACTATAATTTATCATATATATATATATATATATGTGTGTGTGTGTGTGTGTGTGTGTTTTCGTGTGTGTGATGGCTGTTTACTCGATTATGTGCATGACCACTTTCTTAATTTAATCTTCGTTTGTCTTTTACAAGTGGCTAACTAATCCTGCATTTGTTTTGGCAAGAAATAGACAGAAAGATCCAGTGTCATATCTGGGTGGAATGCCTACACTGTGGCAACCACGATGACTTTTCAAACCAGGTTTTGGCACTGAATGCATACAATGTGCATGTTAGTTTTTAGCTGTTAATTAATTTCAGGAAATCTCGCGTGTCCTTTCTGGCTATGATGTTTCATATGGTTAACCTACGTACTCTGGAGAGAAGAATACGACGACACATTAGACGTATGTGACTTTGATCAAATTCTGAGTCAGAAATATTGCTAATATTTCTGGCGTCTGTTCTGAGGTTTTACGTCTTGTCCAAAACAACTGTATCTGTTCAATTCCCTCTTGAACAAAACGCCAGAAATTTGATCTGTTTGAAATTACTGAACGATTGAAGTTATTTTTAAAATCACATAAAACTTAATAACTCAAATTTGATTTGAAAACTTTTTTTCAAATTTTAAAAGATTAATTTAGACAAATCTTAAATTTTAAGTAGTTTCAACATATTTTATCAAAGTAATTTATTTTATTATAAAAACTGCATCAATAACTTTAGTTCCACCAGTTTACAGCTCGGACATTTACACAGTCCTGTTAGGGAAGGCTTATTCTCCACTCTGCAGCTTATTTCCCACAGACACAATATTGCAATCCCATCACTAGTCTATCGCTATTTCCATGGCAAATGTTCAGATGAGCTCTATTCTTTAGTTCCACTAGTTCAGACCTTTACAGCTAGGACATTTACACAGTCCTGTGAGGGAAGGCTTATTCTCCACTCTGCAGCTTCTTTCCCACAGATTCAACATTGCAAGCCCATCACTAGTCTATCGCTATTTCCATGGCAAATGTTCAGTTACACTCCATTCTTTAGTTCCGCCATTTCAGACATTTACAGTTAGGAAGCGATAAGCAAATTTCTCATAATCGAAATACACTAATATCCTCTGTTGTCCAAAGGTAATATGAAATACTCATTTAGAAAGTATTTCACATGAACTGTGGACCAGATTCCAGTGTTGATGCTTCGCTGAACACAAACATCTTAACCTCTTCAAGTCAAAGGACAGTGGCTGTCTATCCCTCTTATCCTCGTTATCTTCACTTTCTACCACATCCTCTTTCATTCCTATTACAACTTATTCATCATAACCAGTTTAGCAGCTGCTCCACAGCGTGGAGTAATGATTCACTCCTGATATGGTTCTTCATAATGGTTAGCAAGC